CAGATAATGTTTTCGGCTGATGAAAATAGTATATTATGCAATGATCATGTAATGATAGCCATTAATACACGAGCATGTTGTAGGATACGAAACGAGCCGCAGGCGAGTTTCGTATATAACATGCGAGTGTATTAATGGCCATTACATGAGAGTTGCATACACTATTTTTTCTACTGCCATTGATAAAACTTATGATATTTAGATATGTCAACATTATGCTTAACTTTGAATAGAGATTTTATAATTGAGTAATGCAGCCAGTTGAAGGTTTCATTTTTTGTTGTAATCTTCCATAATATACTATCAAAACATTTTCTGAGAAGAACGTTGTGTTTTTGGTGTTTCTCCAATCTATAAATTGTCCATATAATTTTTCGTAAATTTTCTTGGACTTGTCCGGTAGTATATTATTACCCGCATTTGTCGCCCTTTCTGCAATTTCTGGAGGTGTTAGTGAAAATTCTTCGTTATCGCTCAATATTTCCATAATAATAATGCCTTATCCCAAACTTTAGGTAACTTTTAATAACAATTTGAAGTTTTTTTTTTTAATAAAATTATTGTTTTTCACTAAATTACCATGGAAAAGCTATAAACAGAGTGCTGTTAATATTCAAAAAAAAAAAAAAAAATCAAAATTTCTTAACTGGTGGCGCCATCTATCGACAATGTCTAATAATGAAAAAAGTAAAAATTCTTCCTTATCACTCATTTCCATAATAATTTTTCTTTGTCCCAAACTTAAGGTAACTTTTAAACAATTAGAAGTCTTTTTTATAGTTATCAAAATAATTGTTTTACGCAATATTACCGTTTTAAATGTTTAATATCTTAACTGGTGGTGCCATCTATCGACACTGTATAATATTAAAAATCTGTATTATAATGAAAATCTGTATCATAATGAAGTTCATTATAATCGTTTAATAGCCTATTATGAAATGTCAGTAGAAAAATACAGTTTTGTACTTGCTGGAAGTGATAAGGGATCTACTTGAATAGTTTTATTTTGTCTTAGTTTTTCAAATTTTATAATTTTTGTTAAAATGCATGCAGAAAATGAACATTAAATTGAAAAAACACAAGAGTTTAGTCAGGAGGTCCTGACGCACACCGCAGAAAATAACACGACAAAAAATTTACAAGAACCCGAAAAATTTTGCTAGTCAATTTGTTTGACAGTTTGACATTGTCAGACTTTATAAACATATTTGTGGCTATGAATGTGCCTTTGAGCATTGTGAAGTTAGCCAAAACGAAGAATATTACGCTGTTGCCAAGTAGGTACTTTCTCCGTTCAACTAAGCACTGTTTAGTTCTAGGCGGTGCAAATCACAAATATATAAACGTTGATTAAAAACCAATCACTGATTAGCTAATCACTGTTTACAGCCAAAATGGAACAAACGGGCATTAATATGTTCCGAGTGACCTTACATGGATTTGACATTTAAAGTAAACAAATTTGACATAGGTATGTCGTAAATTTTGTAGTCAGCTGTTAATTTCTCCGAAAATGGATGAAGAAAGCAGCGATTAAACTGTGAAAGGAAATAAGTATTGCAATCCGTTGAAGACAAACTGTTGTATGCCATTTGACCCCCGAAGGTCATTCTGTGCTTCGCTCAATCAAACGTTGAGCTCAGCACAAAAAGACCTACTTTTTGGTCGAGTAACATAAATAACAACTTTCAGCTTCTATGAATTTAGGCTCTATCGGCGATTTCTTGGTCCATATTATAATACATAAATATCGGAATGGAACAAATTTACTCGTAGTGAAACGACTCGAGCAGTGAATAATGCGAAGCTGTTTTAACGAATATTTCACGAAGGCAATTTAATCGCAAAATAGGAATTTATGTCATTAGGCCAAGAAGTGAGTCTTTTTGTGCTAATCCCAAAGTTTGTGTTTTATTGGGAAAGGGACATATTTTGAATGCAGATAGGGGTGATCGAGAGGGTTCCAAAAAACCTATATTTGATGGGTCTATCGCCCTTTATACCAGAGATACAGGGTGATTTATCGATTTTGTTACTTTTTTTTATTCCCCTATAACTTCTGAACGACCCCGTATTTTTTCTCTACCATTAATAAGTACCTATACCAAATCTGAAAAAAAAATACCTACGGGGCCGTTCAGAAATTACAGGGGAATAAAAAAATTAACAAAACCGACAAATCATCCTGTATCTCTGATATAAAGGGCGATAAACCCATCAAATATAGGTTTTTTGGAATCCTCTTCTCGGTCACCCCTATCGGCCTTATCTGCATTCAAAATATGTTCCTTTGCTAATGAAACACCCTGTATAAGTTTTCGCAGATCTCAGAGCTCACCAGCTCACAATAGTCACTCACAAGCATTAGCGTTGAACTCTGCTTCGGCATTTTTAATGTCCTTCCCGGCCGGTTGCATCTTCGTGAAGGACTATAAATTTATTTTTTGCAGTTTTAAATTTGTTATTTTACTGTATCTCATTACACATTTTGTATAACTACATAAGTAATTTTATTTATCACTACCCAGGTAGGTACCCAAAAAAACTAAAACTGAAAATGAAAACGAGATTTTTGAGAACTTTGTGACTTTGTCCCGCTTTTGGACTTTCAAGATCTGGTCACTTAATGTTTACTTCAAATGTCAAATCAATATAAGGTCACTCGGAACACATTCCACTGCTCGGAACATGGATGTTCGTATACAGATCAACTTGATTAACTGTATATATTTATGCTCGTACTTTATTTATACAATAATTCAATCCATATTGAACAAAAATGTAAAACGAACAAATTAGTGAACATTATGCTCGTGGAGCTGATTTCGAACTTGTTCGTTGACGTCGTAGCGAGGAGAAAACGCGAAGTTAACCACAAGAACATGTAATATCGCTGATTAACGCTGCTGTTATCTTGGGAGAAAAAAAAAAACGAACAAATCACCCCATACATTAAAATCTTTATGTTCCTGATAGGCCAAGCAATGAAGGAAGTTTACCTCAACATAATTAGAAGTTAACATTTTTTGGGGGGGATGGGTTCATTTTCATGTGCTTAATAACATATTAAGTTTGCGACCTTGTACTTCCATAGGGTTTTTAGTTAGGGATGGTTTTTAGGGGTAATTTGCGGTTTATGAAGAACGCTGCTCAAAGGGATGGTCCAATAGCAAAAAGTTTCAAATAAATGTTGTAGCTGAAGTTTTTTGCTATGAAAAACTCAGCGACAGCACCCTTCTATCTTCTATAGTTTTTTTTTTCTGCAGCGTCTTGAATACTAGCATGTTTTTATTCAAGGTCACTGAATCAACGTTTCTCCTGTTTCCGCGCATTTGATGCAGTAGCGGCCAAATGCATAATCCGATTTCAATTTTCCAAACGCCACATTATTGCTAATAAAATGCACTCTCCAATGCTTTTTTGTTAGAATTTTTTTCTTGAAAATTAAGTGAGCACGGAGTTGCCTAATGTGCGAGGAAGTTGTAAATTGCATCGAAAACTACCCCTTTCTTACACTCACGGTAATTTCTAAACGAGGCCAAATATTTGGTGACAGTTTTCGACAATCGGCAGCCCATTTATTCCTCTCATATTGCCCCAGCGAATTTTTTTTCTCGTTAATTACTCAATGACTTATTGGCCTGAACACGTGACGCGGAATTTTTCAAAAAGTCTAAAAAAATTAAAATTGTCGCACAGCGCTGAAATTTGGTACGATGGCTTTTTTTATTGTTTTTATGAACATACTGAAATTTTAATTGCTTTACATGACTGCTGCAACAATTAAAATTGCATTATATTATCGAGAACAATAAATAAAGCCATCGTACCAAATTTCAGCGCTGCGCGATAATTTTAATTTTTTTTGACTTTTTGAAAAATTCCGCGCGACGTGTTCAGGCCAATAAGTCATTGAGTAATTAACGAAAAAAAAAATCCGCTAGGGCAATATGAGAGAAATAAATGGGCTACCGATTGTCGAAAACTGTCACCAAATATTTGGCCCCGTTTAGAAATTACAGTGAATGCAAGAAAGGGGTAGTTTTCGATGCAATTTACAACTTCCTCGCACATTAGGCAAGTCGTGCTCGCTTAATTTTTAAGCAAAAAATTCGAACAAAAAAGCATTGAAGAGTGCGTTCCATTAGCAATAATGTGGTGTTTGAAAAATTGAAATCGGATCATGCATTTGGCCGCTACTGCATCAAATGCGCGAAAACAGGAAAAACGTTGATTCAGTGACCTTGAATAAAAACATGCTAGTATTCAAGACGCTGCAGAAAAAAAAACTATAGAAGATAGAAGGGTGCTGTCGCTGAGTTTTTTATAGCAAAAAACTTCAGCTACAACATTTATTTGAAACTTTTTGCTATTGGACCGTCCCTTTGAGCAGCGTTCTCCATAAACCGCAAATTACCCCTAAAAACCACCCCTAACTAAAAACCCTATGGAAGTAAAAGGTCGCAAACTTAATATGTTATTAAGCACATGAAAATGAACCGATCCCCCTCAAAAAATGTTAACTTCTAATTATTTTGAGATAAACCCTCTTTTTAGATCCCCGTTTCTTGGACTATGAGTACATAATGGATCAAAGTGTTGACGACAAGAATAACAAACAATCTTCTTATTCTTGTGACTAACTCAATTTAGTTCACGTGAGCGCCAATAAATACACTGTGGGCCAATTTTATCATTGGCCGCATTCAGGTAGGTAGTTGACCATATGTGATGTAAATGCCGATTGTAAATTGTAAAATCTGACGTTCGATAATTTCAAAAAGAACGACCTCAAGAGTTGTGGTCACCCACCAACACATTTATGTGAAAATCCACTGAAACCTGAAACGATGAACTCAGATATCCTCAATATTTTCAATGCACTTATGTTAAAGTGCCCCATAAGCAATTTTTGAAAAACTTGTATTTATTAAGTAATTATTCGTAAAAAATATACTAAATTTTTATTTACACTCACATACTCCCTTTTTTTGCAGCTGAAGTAAAAATGCCAAGTGGAAATGTAGATAGACCGATAATAGAAGACAATCACGATGGTACAGTATCAATAAAATATGATCCCAGAGAAGAAGGTGTACACGAACTAGCTGTTAAGTTTAATGGAGAACACGTCCAAGGTTCTCCATACAAATTCCACGTAGATTCAATAAGTTCAGGCTACGTCACCGCCTATGGTCCTGGTCTTACACATGGAGTCACTGGTGAACCAAGTAATTTCACCATATCTACAAAAGGTGCTGGCGATGGAGGTTTGTCAATGGCCGTTGAAGGACCAAGTAAAGCTGAAATAAGTTGTCACGATAATAAAGATGGAACAGTATCAGTTTCATATCTTCCCACAGCACCCGGAGAATATAAAATATCTGTACGTTTCGGAGATAAACACATCAAAGGATCACCATTCTTTGCAAAAATTACTGGTGAAGGCAGGAAAAGAAATCAAATTTCTGTTGGTTCGTGTAGTGAAGTATCTTTACCAGGAAAAATCTCTGATGCGGATATTCGTTCTTTAAATGCTTCAATTCAAGCACCTAGTGGATTAGAAGAACCTTGTTTCTTGAAGAGACTAGCCAGTGGAAATATCGGAATTTCCTTTACTCCCAGAGAAGTTGGTGAACATATTGTTTCAGTTAAAAAAATGGGCATCCATATAGTAAACTCGCCATTTAAAATTAACGTATGCGAGCGAGAAGTAGGTGATGCTAAAAAAGTTAGAGTCCAAGGAAATGCTTTAAAAGAAGGAAAAACGCACATCGATAATACTTTTACTGTAGATACTAGGAACGCAGGATTTGGTGGTCTAAGTCTTTCAATTGAAGGTCCTAGCAAAGCTGAAATTCAATGCAATGACAACTCTGACGGAACATTAAATATTTCTTATAAACCCACAGAACCTGGATATTATATTGTAAATCTTAAGTTTGCTGATCATCATGTGGATGGATCACCTTTCACGGCTAAGGTGAGAATTTTGTATTTTTTTTTTTAAATTTTAATTCTTCCTTCATTTGAAGAAACAAACGTATTTCAATTGGAGTTACACATTTATATATCTTTAAGATCTACGAATACATGTTTAGAAACAATCAAATTTACTTTCTAAACGTTCACACGTTATTTCTTAGCTTCACTGTCGTTTATGTGTAGGTACCTTTTTTTTTAACATGATTGGGAAATGTCTAAGAGGTAATACAAAATGAAGGTACTTAAGTATTTTTCACTTCCTTTTGGCTTATGCTTCAGAAAATAATTTAAAATATATTTTATCCCATAACAACTCAATGCTTTTTTCACGAATAATTACAGTCGTATCCCTTTTATTAGTTCATATTAAAGATAATTCTAAAAACCCGCTAAAATCAGCTTGAACAGAACCAACTAATAAATTCAATATGATTGGGAATAATAAGAATGTTTCAATGAAAAATACTTGTATCAACTTTTAACATTCCAGTTTTTGTTGTGCATTCATTGGTTGATTTTATGCGTGAAATCGGCTTTGTAGGATCTACCAGAATTGGCTCAAATGTAGTACAAACATTAATTATCCGATCCGATTATTTATTGTTTCTGATTTTACCTGTATTAAGTAGGTATATATTTATAGGTAACTGGCGAAGGATCCAATAGGCAACGTGAAAAGATTCAAAGGCAAAGAGACGCTGTGCCGGTGACAGAAGTTGGTAGCCAGTGCAAACTTACCTTTAAAATGCCAGGTATTAATAAATTCAAGCTTAGCTTCATTCGCAAATGTTATCTTATGGAACATTTTTTAGGTATAACTTCCTTTGACCTTGGCGCAACTGTTACATCTCCCGGAGGTGTGACAGAAGATGCTGAAATCAATGAAATCAAAGATGGACTATATGCCGTTCATTTTGTACCTAAAGAGTTGGGGGTCCATACTGTTTCTGTTAGATACAAGGACATCCATATTCCTGGTAAGTAGTTACCTGAGTTTTTTGAAAGTACATCAATGAAAGAGAATATAAAAAAACTGATTTCAATTTCATCCTGAAACCTTGAATGAGTTTTGACCCATCAGGTCTCATTAGGTACTCTTTAGGAATAAGTATTGCTAGCCATGCTGATGAGACCTGATAGGTCCAAAACGTGACCGTGGATAGAATAAAAATGAAACGACACTCGAATAAACCTGACAAATGATTGGTCCGTATTTTCACAGATGAAAGCACATCCAACAGTCTATCTGTTGTTATTTTGAGTGTAGCAAATAGTGTCAGATTTTTAGTATCTCTACCTGCAGTGACTAAATAAACCTTAACGAACAGTGGTGACAAGAGAGGCCCCGCCGCCATGTTTTTGCTTGCTTCTTGCTGGTTTTGAATGTGAGTATGTGAGATTTGGGTGGATGTCTGTCTGGAAGGTTGAAAAAAACGTATTTGTTGCACCTAATTATAGTCATCAAATGCGTTGTTTTCAATTTTTGTGTTGGATGTCCGTTTAAATCCTACATATTCATGTAGGGTTAGCGATAGCAGGGGGTAGGCAAGGGTATGGCGGCGTTTTCGATATGAATAGGTATATAGGGTTTTAAAAAACCAATCAAAAATAGGACGGCAATTGTCGCCACTGTGGTTTAATAGAGTCACTGAATCTCTACCTACCTGTACAACTCACCCTTCCTGGCCACTTGCTGGATCGAACCATCACAACAAATATCAGTTTATGGATGGGATGTTCGTCTAACTGTGATAATAATAGGCCCTGAGATAGGGACTGTTTAGTGTAGCTATTTTTTCTTGTCTGGCATTTTGAGGGCTGAATGTGGCTAGTTAACTGATGGGAATATAAGTGATTTTAATGCCTGCTTCCCTTTCGAAATGTCCACGGAAGGTTTTGCGGATTTGCTCGATTTCGAACTGTTATTACCATCTGGCGATGTTTCAGCGTTATTTTCACAACAAAACCTTCCATTCTCTTGATTGGCAGACAAATATAAATGCAGAATGTTGTATACTTTTCTCTTGCAAGTTGAGACCCATCCCCATTTTTCCAGCCATTGAAAAGCATATGGCATTTTTTATGGGCGAATTATTTATAAATGTCAATCTTTTATACAAAAGCCTGACAATTTAAGATCATTAAAAAAAAATGCTTCATGTAAATTAATTTGTTTTTTCTCAAAATTTTCGAACGGGTGGCAGGCATTAAAAACACACATATTCTCATCAGCTAACTAGCCACATTCAGTCCTCAAAATGACAGACAGAAATGCCTCCACTAAACAGTCCCTATCTCAGGGTCTATATAAGTCATTTGCTTTTGTTTGAGGAAGTGGGCCTTCCTATTTTCTTTATCTAATAGCCTTGCACACTCATCACTCCCGACGCCGAGCCGTGCCGAGACTAACCGAGAGTTTTTTTTTTTTGTTCTTTCTTTCGTTTCTTAATCAACTTTGATTCAATATCGATAGGACAATTGATTTCAATTTGATCACAAAAATCTATTTACTTTTCCAGGTTCTCCCTTCCAATTCACTGTTGGTCCCTACCGCGATCATGGTGCCCATTTAGTCAAAGCTGGCGGAGCTGGTCTCGAGAGAGGCGAACAAGGGGAATTGAACGAATTCAATGTTTGGACAAGGGAAGCTGGAAGTGGCCAGTTGGCCATTTCTGTTGAAGGTCCCAGCAAAGCAGAAATTAACTTCACTGACCGTAAAGATGGATCTTGTGATGTCTCATACAAAGTCTCAGAACCAGGTGAGAAATATTATAGTTAGCAACTTAACTCCTTATTGCCTTATTAACCGGGTATAATAGATGTTTTTGTGATAAATTACTTCTCAAGTTTTGGCTTTGAATAACTTAAACAAGGAATAAATTAGATTCTATCAGTCTGCGTTAACTTCTTTGAGAATATAATGCCATATAAATATAAATACTGCTTAGGAGATAAATGTTGTCGATAATAATATTACCCTTCAATTTTTGTTTTAACAAAAATTTCTTACTAAATGTGCCAATCTAAGATGACCGATACATACAGAAATCTGCGGACAGACGAAGTGATGCGGACTGTTGATATTCCATACTTTTCATTATATTGATGTGGATCGGACGTCTATCGCGTTCCTTTATATTTCGGTTTTAAAGCAATTGTTGATTTTGATCAATAAGAATGATCTCCGAAATAGAACCCAAAACACTTCTAGGAAGAAGTGACTCTGTCGTCATCTCCGCAAATGCGGGGGTGGCTACTGCTCTTATTTTTTCAAATGGGAAAGGGTATGTTGTGATACATCTTTTTAAAGGGCAATAAATTCTCTTTAAAGTGCCGTTTCGTTTTTCATAATTTGAGTTACGCGCCGTCGAGAAATTGCGGTTTAACAAATCGGAAAATTAGAAGATCTTAGAAGATTTACGGAACCGCATTACTAATGAATTCCAACAAATTACACCAGACGTTCTTCACAGTGTCCGAGAACACTTTGATCAGTTTAAGTATTGTATGGAGGTGAATGTTTAGCTACATGATTCGACTTTGAAAAATATATATGTTACATGAAACTATTATAGATCCATAAGAAACTGCTAACGGCTTCGACAGCGAATTCTATCCAGCGTTTTCCAGAAAATGTCCAGTCAACTTTCCTTTATGGTTAGCGGAAACTAGAAATATTCGACAAATCTCAGAGATCATAGAAGAGAAAGTAATTTCTGCCTTTGAAGGTCTTAAAAAATTATCGTGCCCAGGACCCGAATGCATGCCAGCCATCGTCCTAATAAACTGTGCTGAAGACTTGGGACCCTCACTCGCGCAATCATTTAATAGCGTGCTTGCAGAAGGTAATTCGCTTAAAAAATGGATACAGGCCATAGTCGTACAAATATTCACAAGTAGGGATAATCCTCGGGATAAACATAGTCCTAACAACTACCGACCGATTAGCCTCACTTGTACCATGTGCAAAGAATTGCAAAAAAAAATCATGACAAGGGATGTCACATAATTTCTCCTAGCTAACCAAATTATATACAGTATGTATAGTCTGGGAACCGTCAAATATTTCCAGAGCGGCTTAAAATATAGAATTAGGAAATTTTCTGCGAGTAGGTAGTAATTATTGATGCCCGATCCAATTTCCTAATCATAATTTTAGGCCGTTGTGGACATTCATTATGGACCTATTCGGGTTTGAAAAAAGGACGGTTCTAGAACGGTTCAAAACAATCGCACAGTTTATCAACCAACAGAATGACAATGGCTCGGCTATCACAAATTTCAGTAATAAACTGTGCGATTACTTTGAACGTTCTAGAACCGTCCTTTTTCAAACCCGAATAGGCCTTATTTGACCATTACCAAACCATTGAACAAAAAGGTTGTGTTGCCATGTTCCAGAAACCGCGTAAAATACGGATATGATATCTGGAGGTTTCACTAACAATAGAGCGTCGAATTTATTGCAATGAAAATAAGGTGGTATTCCTATTTGAAAAAACGAAGTTGCCTACATTATCTGAAAACCGGTAAACTTGGCATTATTGTCGATGTGACCATTGAATCAAACATCATTGATTACCCATACGCAGAAAATTTCGTAATTCTATTTCAAGCTGCTCTGGAATTATTTGACAGTTCCCAGACTTTTCAAACACACTGTATACATTCCGCACAGCGCACAGCACGGTTTTCTACCCATGCGATCAATAAGGAGGATGGACAACATCATCCTCAAAGCATATCGCCCTATAAGCCTCTCATATATTTCTCTAAAAACAATGGAGAGGCTATGCGAAAGGTACATAAGGGATGTAGTGCTGTTAACCAATCCACTCCACCCTAATCAACATGCATAGGTACAGCCCTGGAAGATCAACGGACATAGCCCCCCATGTGGTTGCTGGGCGAGTGGAAAATTGCTGGACAAAAGAGAGTCTACCCTCGGGGTATTCATCGATATTGAAATGAATACTCCGGAAACTGTTACCGGATGGATAAATATGCTTTCCAAAATAATCGTACAGATGAGTGTGCAGGTCGTCGACATTGAAGAAATGGTCATAAGAGGCTGCCCGCAGGGAGGCGTGATATCACCTATTCTGTGGAACACAGCCTCATTGTCCGCCTGAACACTGACAACCGCTAAACGATAGCTTACACAGATAACGTAGTGATATTGCAGAGAGGTAAATTCGAGAACTCACTCTGCGAAAGCATTCAAGATGCATAGGCCATCATCAGGCCTATGCTTACCTATAGGGCTATTGTCTGGGGGCATCAGGCCGAGCAGACTACTATAAGCCAAAAACTAGACCACGTTCAAAGAATGATATGCCTCATGCCGCAACATAACTGATATTGATATTTTTACATGTGTATATACACTCTATCCATCAACCCCAAAAATACTGAAATGGTCCAATTCACAAGAAAGAGGAAACAGGTACTACCGCCAGCACCCAGGCTCTCAAATACTGAACTAAGCTTTGCTGCCGAGGTCAAATATCTAGAAATGACACTCGATTGCAAACTAACTTGGAACTCTAATATCACTAAGGGCCGGTTTATTCACCTTCTGATAAACTATCAGATCTACAATCTGATGGATAAAAACGCAATCTGTAGTTCCATTGGTCGGCCAGTGATCCGCCGACCAACAGAATTGTAGAACGGTGAAATTATCTTGCAGATAATTACCAGCAAGTTTATCTGAAGATGAATGAACCGGGCCTAAGAGGAATACAGGAAGCATATATCGCATATGAACAGTGTAGACGTATCATCGGTAGACCTGGGGGTTCTCCCCCAAGGTAGTTATGTGGATCTATATACAGCTATCATCAGGCCTGTGCTTATCTATGGAGTTATTGTCTAGGGTCATAAAGCCGAGCAGACCACCATTAGCCGAAAACTCCACGTTCAAAGAATGACATGCCTCAACATAACGGGTGCAGTGAAAACTAGACCAACTAGGGATGTGGAAGTAATTCTTGACGCCCCTGGACATTTATGTCAAGGAGGCCGCTTTAACCACAATGATGCGCTTCCGCACTGTTGGTATAGAACCAAGTGCAGAAGTCGGTTTGCAGAGAACCCGCATATGGCGCGAGACAACGAACTCGCTTCCACTGTTGGAAGCCAGAGTGGACTCTGCAACGCCATATTTTTTCTTCAAAAAGCACTTCACGCACACAGGGGCAGGGGTGAGTAACATCTACACTGGCGGATTCATAATTGAAACAGGCTCGGGATGCGGAGTATACTCCAAAGCCCTCAAACTGAACCTAACTATAGCCCTCGGCTCCATGCCAAATGTCCTCCAAACAGAAATTACTGGCATAACCATCGCTGCAGAACGAGCAGGTAGTAACCATATCACTGACAAGATCGTGCACATCCATACGGACTGCAGACAAGCAGTACTAGCTCTATCTAGACCTCGACTCACGTCAGAACTAGTACAACATTGCCACCGTACCCTCGTCGATAAAAAAAACCACGGTGGTAGTCAGCTGGATCAAAGGACACGATCACAGCGAAGGAAATCAAGCTGCCGAAGCGCTGGGACGATACAACTGGCTGCAACTTATCCAAGTAACTGCTAAGCTACCCAGATAAAACTGCAGCGAGGCAGAAACTGTCGTTGACCAGGAAAAGGCTACGCCTAATAACGGCCATTTGGCTGACCACTGCCAGTTAAACAAACATTTATTCAGGTTGCATCTTAGCACCACACCCTTGTGTATCACATGTAATCAAGAAGAAGAGACGATAGGGCACATTCTCTGTGACTGCACTTGGTGAAAGACCAGTGCAGTCACATACGCAGAGCAAGGCCAATCATACCCATTCCTAGAAGAGATCAGAGGCACAGCCCTCGGCGACGTCATCGCCTTTGTTAAATCGCTAGGCTGGATGACCTTTCCTCTTGTGGAGGCGCACAATGGGCCTACTGTGGCCTTAGTGGTGCGGTGAATCACCCTCCCAAACTTACAGATACAGATCCACAACAAATCTACTGAGCTGCCTGGGTAAGTGGTCCAGTGAATCAGTGGAAACTATTTACCTAGACTTTCGGAAGGCTCTCGATAATGTTACAACTAATCAGAGGAAACCTGCTACAAGCAAATCTATCTTAAATAACGAAACCTTTATAGTTTGGGTGAACAATAGATACCAGTACGGATCCACACGCTATCAGTGTTCAAAGTTGGGTTCCGGGGCCCCATTTTCCTCGTCTACATTAGCGACTTGACAAATAAATGATATTAAAGCGAACGTCTCACGGTATACATATAACAAGTAACTTCAAATGGGAAACTCATATTCTCCGTATTGTAAAAAAGGCGAATCAACAGGCCTACCTTGTGGAACTCGCATTCTGCAAGAAATCCATAGAGATGGTAAAAAAGCTGTACACGACACAACATACATACATACCGGGTGTCCCACTAAGGTCGGCCAGGTACGATATTATGGAAACCATAGACCTTACGGCTTCGGGATTTTTTATTTCTTCACTAAATTGGCCAAGAGAAATTGATGGAAATTATTTTCAAGTTTCTAAGATGACCGCTAGGGGGCGCAATCACGATGATATAACTAAAAATTCAAATTTTCTCAAGAAATCGCTATATTAAGATACTGTTTCAACAACAGAAATCAAAAGTTCATTAACTTTTGCGCCAGTTTGGTTATTAGGCTTTTTTCGTATCTTCACTAATAAGGGTGGGGGAAGCTGGTGAAAAAATAGTTT